GTCCTTGCATTTCCTGGTGTAAATTAGTGATCTGGACCTTGGTGTGCAGGGGACAATTGCAAATTCTGCAATTGACACTCAACTTGAGAAGGCTATAACGGTGGGAAGGACAGTGTGGAACTCCAAAAGGACATTGACAGGTTGATGAAGTGGGCAGATTGGTGCAGATGAGGTTCAATGCAGAGAAGAGTGAGGTAATGCACTTTGGTAGGAAGAACATTGAAAGGTAATAGGGGGCACAATTGTAAATTGTGTATGTACGTTGATTATTGCAAGTGGCAGGACAGATATTGATTTGTTGATTGCTTTATGGTTGTCACATGTACCCAGATACAGTGAAAAGTGTTGTTTTGTGTGCTGTACAGGCAGATCGTACCGTACGATGTGCATCAGGATAGCAGAACAGAATGCAGAATTACAGCCACTGAGAAGGTGCAGAGAGAAAGATCAGAATTAATATTTGAGAGATCTATTCAAAAGTCTGATAATAGCGGAAAAGAAGCTGTTCTCGAATTTTTTTTTACCTATATTCAAACTTTTTATATCTTCTGCCCAGTGGAAGAGAGTATAACCTGGTTAGGACCAGAGTTCTTTGATAATGTTTTCTTGCTTTTTGGAGGCAGCATGAAGTATAGACAGAGTCAGTGAATGGAAGACAAAGAGAGCGGTAACTAGAGCGTATAGTAGCTTCAACTTTATTAGTGGGGAGTAGAATACAACAGCAAGGAGGTGAGGTTGAATTCATAAACTGACTTCTTAGACCTCAGCTGGAGTACTGTATGCAGCTCTGGGTGGATTTCTAAAAGGGAATTTGTGTTTAACTAACTTGCTGAAGTTTGCTGAAGTTTGTTGAAATGGTAACAGAAAGACTCAATGAAGGGAAGACTTGATTTGATTTACGTGGACTTGCAGAAGGTGTTTGTGATACAGTGCCATACGACAGACTTGTGAGGAAAGTTATAGGTCAATGTATAAAACAGACAGTAGATGCTTCCCTGCCACTAAAATTAAACTGACTGGACTCAAATTGTTGAGTTTATCCTTACAACCTTTCTTGAACAAGGGCATAATGTTCGCAATTTTCCAGTCTTCTGGTACCTCCGCGAATCAAGGGAAAGATGTGAACTCAATGAAGAGAATGCAGAATTCATTGACAAGAATAGTTTCAGGGGTAAGGAACTTCAATTATGCGGAGAGACTGAAGAAGTTGGGACTGTTTTCCTTCTGGGATGAAGGCTGAGAGGAGATATGATAGAAATTTTCAAAATCATGGATGGATAGATTGGATATGGATAAACTGTTCCTGCTCGTAAAAGGAACAGAGTCAAGAATGCCTCCATTTAAAGTGATCTGCAAAAGATGCAATGACAAAGGGAGGAAAAACATTTTCACACTGCAAGTAGTTAGGTTATGGAATGCACTGCATGGAAATGTTCACTGGAGGCATTCAAGAGGACATTTGGATAAAAATGTGCGTGGGGTTGGAGATGTGTGAGAGTGTGGGTGTGTGTGAGAGAAACCAGAGAATGGCACGAGGTAATGTTGCACATTTAATGAGCTGGTGCAGGTACAATGGGCCAAATTGCTGCTTCCTATGCCATAAAATTTCTGTAATTGTGTGATTCTCTGCCAAGACTCTATCTGCAGCAGGAATGTCCAGGTCATTTGGCATCTAGGATACACGCAAACAACATCAAAGATTTACAAACCTGTAGGGGAGATATAACATGATATTCCTGGCTTCTCTATCCTTCATAGGTGTTGAATAGATGCCAGCTCTTCCTTCAACATTATTTTCAGTCTCAAGTTGCAGATTTTCCATGCATTTACTACATTATGACTTATCTGCTGCTAAACCGTAGCAAGGGTCAGGCATGCAGTACTGGCTGTACATTGTAAATGTACTGTGCATCTAATTATACACCTTGTTATATCATGACAAGCTTTACTGTCAATATGAAATGAATCTTTCTGATGTCTCGAGAGGCACCAGCAGTTTGTCAATGATCTCAAGTGATAGATGTACATCAATTAAACTTGCAGTAAGACGTGGACTGGTGTTGGTGTTCCTGTCTCTGGATCCTTCAGTGCAGGGTTTCTAGAGAAACTCAGCAGGTCTGCCAGTATCTGTGAAGAGAAAACCTGCTGAGTTTCTCCAGCAGTTTCTGTTTTCGCTTGTTTATGATCTCCAGCATCCATAGTTCTTTGTTTTAGTTTTGGGCTGTGTTTCTGCCTCTCTCCACACTCCCACAAGTGAAAACAAATGCTCCATTCTGATGTCTAGGTTGACATTAACCTGGGCATGCTCATATCTGATTAGTGTAGGTAAGCATTCCTTACCCATTAATCATTCCACTGCATCACGCAGACTTGGAAATATGAAAATAACTCACCGGTTCCTTATAGTCAGATCTTTGAAACCTAGAAAATAGGAGCAGGAGAAATCCATCTGACCGTTCGAAGCTGCTGCACCATTCAATACAATCCTGGCTGATCATGCGACTCTGTTCTCTGTTCTTGCTCTCTCCCCACGCCCGTAGATCCCTTCAGTCCCACGAACTATATCCTTCTTGAAAACATTAAATGTTTTGATCTCAGCTGCTTTCTGCGGCAGAGAATTCCACAGGCTCACAGTGGAGAAATTTCTTCTCACCTCAGCCCTAATTTGCCAAATCCATATCCTTAAACTGTGACCTTTAGCAAAATAAACATTCAGAGGCTCTTTGAAATGACCTGCCTGCTTGTCAAAAGATATATTAAGACACTCACTTGCAAAACTACAATCAACATTATTGGTGAGGATGGTAGCTTTTATCTCTTGAGATTGGTGGGGTTTATTCAACAGGAAGGTATAGCTGCTTCCAGGGAATGGCACAGTACTGATGGTAGATGCACACATGAAAGTATTGTGCACTTAACCTGCATATGTTCAACATAGCAACTTTGAGGCATTGGGAACACTGTTACTGCCGTACAATTAGAAGAATACTACCCAATCCATTAGTTTGGAAATTGTGGGGAGATTCTGACCATTACTTTAAACAGAGAGGAAATTGGGCATCTCCGAGTTGTGATTTTCTGATGAAGCATCTGCGCTGGGATCAGCCAACAACAAAACCCATCCTTTTATTGCGAATCCTTCAAAAATCAGTTGCTCTTTAACCCAGCTCCACACCAATGGATTGTACAACAGTGTTTTTGCTCGTACCTTAACATTGATGTTACAGTTGCCGATATGAAGGAATTATCATTCACTTCTGTACTACTTTCAGAAGATTAATTATTTGCACTTAGCTGCATATCTTAATGTTTTCAGTCTGCGTGAAGTATAGGTTCTTTGCAATATTGAAGTATATCAGTTATCTGTCTTTCATGCTTTTATTGAGCTATTTAACAACTTAATGGCTTGTTTAGCATGCTTTTTATATTAATAGTGCACAACCTGTTTGGTGGATGACTTTCTCCAGCTGCCCTTCGTCAGATTATTTTCTTACCTCTCTGGTCCTTTTATTAGGGCTCTTTCCTACACCAGCTACTATGCAGTAACCTCTTTCACCTTTCCGTCAAGACCTAACCTTGTTAACCAAGCATCAGAGGAGAGCTCCCTAAACCCCACCAGGTTTGTGTTACGTTTGTATTGGCGGTAAGGACATTTTCAATGTCTTGCTTTCAGACAAAGAGTGCGTTCAAGAAGTTCTGTAAATTCCAGAAATTAGTTTTATGTTCCAAAAATACTATGTACCAGCAGTAAAGGGCTCAAAGGTTGATTTTGGTTTTAAACAGCTAATTAGCACTCCTCGGAAAAGTAAGTGCAAAGATTTTAAGGTGTGAAAGAGAGAGAGAGACCTGAGGTTTGTAATGAACTGAATTTAGATATTCCCTATCAAATGCCTTGGAATAGTTCTGTTTCTTATAGTTCTTCACCGAGGTGGGTGTTGACAGAAGGTTGTTTCCGTGACTTATTTCCTGTGGTTTTCCAGGAACTCAGAATTTGAATCCCTCATTCCAGGTGGTTTCATAAGCTCTTTCTCCCCATCTGTACTGTTTCCCCTGCTCCAGGAATGACACCGTGCTGATGGTAGATGCACACATGAAAGTATTGAGCACTTAACCTGTACATGTTGAACATGGTGACCTTGCTGAGGCATTAGGAATGCTGTTACTGCAGTACAATTAGAAGAATACTATCCAATCCATTAGATTGATGGCAAGTTTTAAACCTTGTTATTTTTCTGAGTTCGATATGTGGTAATAAAATTCCTCCGGTCAACATTTATAGCAAAAAAAAACTCGCTAAATACTCGCTAAATTTCTCTGTGTAATTGTTAACTTCAAAACTTTTAAATTTATTATCCTTTCATAAGATTCCAACATTTTAAATGACATTTGACTACAAGTTAACTTAGGAGACCTGGATATTTTAGATATTTTTGTTAAGTTGATTTTCTGAGTTGATCATTCAGAATATGTCCTTTCAAAACATTTCTCTCCAAAGTGAAGAAAAGCACCCTTTAGACATTTAATTGGTGTTTCTTCCATTATTATATCAGTCAGGTCATAGATTGTTGTTAAATGCAGTATCAACAATTTCTAAAGGTGGTAATTAACAGTTCATCACTGAGTTTTTCATCCCAACATGTTACAATGCAATTATTCTTGAGGTGGCTATTCAAAACTTACATATAAATATGCATTGGCAGTATATAAATTGCTTCGCTTCGGGAAAGAAAACTAATTCCGCATTGTTGCAACATCCCAATGATTCAGAGGGTATCAGCCTGATACTGAAGATTGGAAACTGATAGGAAGTTGTTTAGTCTGCAGACATTGATGGCATTAGCTCATTTTCGAGATTCAGCAGGAGTGGTAAGATCGCTGTGGGGCTTCTCTGTGAGAACACTGGCAGATCATTATACACTTTGCTTCGTTTTTAAAAGAACATTTGTTACAGAGTGTCTGATTGTTTTCTTTTCCCTAACTGATCTTCTAACTGTCTACAGCCTTCCACCCAGAAAATTGTATTCATCGTTTAGCAAGCCAGATCTGCTAAACACACCTTCAGAGGAGAAGACAATGAAAACAGGTCCTGGAGAAAAAAGCATTTTCAAGTAAGTCAGAGCAGTGAAAGAGAATTTGATTATCTGTGTTTAGTATACAAAGGTTTATTTTTGTAACAAAAGTAAAATGTAAGTAATGTTAGAACTCTAAATATCCACAATTCTGTCATTGCTGAACAGAGAGCCATGTTACTTAAGCTTTTCATCTTGCGAATTTAAGGACAAATGCGGGAACATTAAATTTATATTACAGCAATTCATACTACAGGAGAGAAGGTGACTAGTTGGTTAGCAAGTTGATTCTGATTGGCCAAGATATTGCCATGGAGATGGTAGTGGAGAACTATCGACCTTCACAAGCTCCCAGATAATTGAAAAGAAGCACAAGGCTTGAACATGTTCCTTTTGCTTGCAGAGAACCAGTCTCTGTATACGAATGTATGGCACTTCTAGCAATAAGCCATGTTATGAGCTCAACTAATTCTCTGAAATTGGTTGTTGGAGTAGCTATTGTGTACTCAGGATTGTTCAGCAAGTGCTGCCCAAACGCAGATTCACATCTAACAGACGACACTTTATTTTGGCTTTTGTAAGCACAGGCTGCTTGAGTACTATCTATACTCTGCCTGTAATGAACAGCCAAAGAAATTTAACATTTGATTAGGCCAGACTTATGACATAGCACTGGAATTCATATATAATGTGCAGTACGAACATTTTTTTGCACTGACAGTAGCATCCTGTTAGTAGCCACTGCATAGTAACAGTGTGAACTGGCTTTTGTGTTTGACCTGATGAGTGCAAGATGAAGAGCTTGGGCAATATGTTTTGTCTATTTAGTAATATTCAAGTTCGGGAATGCCGAGAAGCCAGTCTGTTATCTGTCATCCTGATTGCCTGGCAGAGCCTACACTGGCTGAAACCTTGTGTAAGATATTACCCCATTTCACTTTTTCCTACTGGATAAAGTCATAGTGATGCTTCCTTTGTTATTTGTATTGTATTATACTCTACTGGTTGATCATTCTGATTGTGAATTGTTCTTCCATATGTGTAGGATCACAACTAGAGATATCAGTTCTATAGCAGAATACCATCCATCATTGGAGGGAATCCTTATCAGGAAAGATCATTGTGGCTGCACAGAGTTATCAGTTCTGAATTTTGAGAGTTTGTTAATGCCCCTGTGAAGAATGTTGGGGTGTTTTATTATGTTCAAGGTGCTTGATAAATTTGTGTTGTTTTTGTGAGCTTTGTCGTTGGTAATTTTTAAAATTCAGTTTACAATTTCATCTGACACTTCAAGTACTGTACATTCTTGCGATTTTTTTTTTCCCACTTGCATGGAGTTCAAGCTTGAATATTGGTTTAAATGCCACTGTTATTCAGTTTGTAGTTTTTGAAATCGATTCAGTTCTTAAAAGTACAGTAAAATTCATCTCTCACTCAATGGTTTCAGTGCCCTTACTTTTGCCTACAACTTATTGTTTTCATATGAACCTTCCACTGCCTTGAATCCACTCTGCTTACTAACTAAAATCAGACTATCATTTTCTTTCACTTTTCCTTCAGTTTAAATAATGTTATCGGGCAGCCAAACAGAGTCAACTCTTGATAGCTAGCATGATTGGTAATAAAATTAACTTAAATAGTCCAATCAAATTGTGATGAGACAATTATTTTGTTCTTTGAAATATGAAATATGTGGAATGAACTTTTTTTCAGCATCTTGCTTTCCTCTTTCAGTGTTATGAAGTAAATAAGCCCAAGGTGTCACACGTACTGCAATATATAAACATACAGAAATCTGAAATAAGTATCTATCTCCGGGTTCTGCAGTAAAAGCACAGGTGGGTTGAGTACAAGGATGATAGGGGAGCAGACTTAAGAACCAGCTAGGGTTAAGGAAGCAGAATTTTGGGTGGCTTGGGGTTTTCACAGAATATGGCTCAAGGAACCAATCGATGGAATTTGACAAAACCAAGCCTGGAATGAGAAAGATGTACATCAAAGTTTCAATGATGTTGGGGTAAGAACAAGATGAACGAAAGTATGCACATTGTGGGAATTGGTGGCTTTGCTAATGGGCAAACGCAGAGATGGACAAACATTTCAAGGTTGAATAGGACACAGTTTGTACCCCATTGGATTCAGCTTGAACCAGCAGACAGAAAGAGAAAATGAACTGAGAATTAAGAAGCAACATTTGGAGAGGTGCACAGGATGTTTTTGGTCTTTCTAGTGTTGAGCTATAAAGACCTATTCCATCCATGATTTTGTCAGACAGACAAGACCCAGTCTCATTCAATCAGGATTGGTGCCAAAAATGTGGATGATTGTTGACAGATTTGAAAATTTTAAGTGAATGTCTCGTATATATGAGGATACAGGTAGAGAGGCAGATGTACAACTGACACTTCTTTTTGAAATGACATATTTAAAGATTGAGGTCTTTAACCATAAAACAAAGGTTATTTTGTATTTTGTCAAGAATGGTGTACTAGATAAACAACTAGTGTACAATTGTCACAGCAATAGCAGTGTCACATTCTTTAAGGATGACATAGAATCTTTAAATTAATGTTACAGTGATTGATTTATCAGCTATTATAATCTGAAATTACAAAATCTATTTCTTTCCCAAAATCTCCAATGACTTATGAAATTCCCATGTATGGCAAGTCATGATCATATGTCCCTCACGCCTCTACAACTGGCTCTGTTAAACAGCATCTTGATTTCTAAATTCTTATCCTTCCTTTCAACTCTCCTCATGACCTTGCTCCTCCCTTTTCTCTGTATTCTCTAGGTCTATGACCTCTGGGATCTCTGCACTCTTCGAATTCTGGCATCTTAAGATTTCCTGATGTTGCGTGGACCATTGGCAGCCATGCAGGGCCTGGAGTTCTGGAGTTCCCTCCCTAAACCTCCCCGTCTCCCAAAATCTCTTTCCTCCATTTAAACCACTACCAAACCCACTTCTTTGACCAACATCTGGTCGCCTGCTTGAATATCTCCATAAGTGGCTTCATACCAAATATTTTTGCTAACACTCAAGCGTCTTGGGATGTTTCATGAGGTTAAAGGTGCAATATAAATACAAGTTGTTATACTGAAATTGATCTTTCTCTCAGGGCTGAAAAAGTTGCTGTTAGTGATAAACCTGTTCTGAGAAAGTATGAGTAAGTATTAGGTTTGGAATGGAAGTTTCAACTTTGTGATCTGTACTGCATTTTCTTTGTGATCATTCCATTTTGCTACAGGTACTAAATTTGCAGTCAATTTTTATTATAGGCCTGTATGAGTTGAGAGGATGTGGGGACATTTGATCAGATCCTGAACTATTCAAGTTATGGCAATGCATTTCACGGATAGCTCACAAACTTTTCCTCACCTTTTGCTGGTGATTTGTATCTAATTCCAGTCACGATCTCTACAATGTGTTAGACAAAAGGCTATTTTTGAGCTCCTATTTTCAAAGAAAAATTCTGTTGTAATTAATCCAAGTTCCAATTCACATTTAACGTTTAAAGTATCAATTAATCACCTTGACTGAAATGCTTGCAAATTGAATATCAATTCTTGTTTCATCATTTAAGAACCCATAGGGGGTTGAGCAACTGGACTGCTATCCTGATGCATATGTGTTTGTAACTTAAAAGTGTACAGGCCTATAGTAAGAGAAGTATCCTAGTTTGGAATGATGCATTGGTGTTTGGTGCCATGGTGCTGAGCAAGAGGACAATGGTTCTGACTATTATCTTGTTTTCTTGAAAATTGGGTGATAGTTTTCTTCCGTGGAGATGAATTGTGAACCAGAGTTTGATTCCGAATGATTTTAGCTTTTTTGGATGTATTTGTTCCTGAAGCAATAAAGCAGAGGAAATGTATCAATGCAACGAATTTTGCGATTTGAAATGTCTGCAAAAACTTCGCTTTACTGTGGGCAGTGATTGGTTTGCTTAACTGCATGTTTGGCTGTGGTGTGCTGTGGAAAATCAGTTTGCTGCAACCTCCGTTGCGTCCGAATTGCTGGAATGGTTTGTGGGATTTGCTAATGCCAAATGCTGAGATTCTACCGTAACGTTTTCAGAAATCGCTTTTTAGAAAATCTTGTTGCAACACAAAGAGAGAGGGATTTAAGCAAGTCGCGTTTTTCCAGAGACTTTGCCTCCATACCCACAGACAGACCTCCTGATGGTAAGTTGTTCCTTCCAATCTTTTATAACATAATTAAGAATAAGAAGGACCATTCATCCCAATTTAACACAGAAACCATCCAACTTACACTTTTCCATCCGATGCATCCATTTGTTATTTTAAGGCTCCTAGGGTTTATGTCTTTCTCCTGCTTAGGAGTCATTCCAAGCATTGGTCATGGTTTTCACACACAGCAACCTCCAGATGTTCATTCTAAAAAGTTATCCTTTAAAATTTGCCTTCTTTTACTTTGCTGCTACTGTTTCAGCTAATGTAGAATTCCATGTTACTCTTTTCCTTGCCTCCTTCTATCAGATATACTTCTAGGATGTTGCTTCTCACTTGCCTACTTTCCATGACGAAATGCCAAAGTTTCTCCAGGCTTTCCAGAACCAGCATGCAATATTCCAAAAGTATTGGGGTATTAAAGGATTTTGGGTTAATCTAAGATGGAGGACAGGAAAAAATCGTGGCTGTAGGAGCTTGCTCCTTTTTTTTTGAGGTATTTTCTGTATTGGAGATGATTTCCTCAAATTCTAGGAGCAGTAATTACTGTTTTAAAAGCTGTTGCATTGTTGTGGAACTTTGGGGGAAAAGAAAGATCACTTTAAAAGAGGAGGAAGGGAGACAAAGGTAGTGACCACATGGTGGGAAGTGAATCAACTTTTGGTGATGACGAGGTTAAGTATCTTTTTCCTTCTTGTTGGTTCCCTCACCACTGATCACAGACCCAATCCAGTAGCTTGGATTTAGACCTGGAGTAGGAACAAGATGGGGACCTTTTAATCTAGCTCTGATAAATATCTGGTTATTAACCGTGACATAGCAACCTGCAGCACACTTGGCCCAAATGATACATGCTGGAGTAAATTGAACACAAGACCGGGGAGAAGGTGGCTTGGCAGGATTGTCACTCTACTAGTAATCCAGCAGCCCAGGCTAATGCTCTGGGAACACGGGTTCGAACCCCACTACAGGAGCTGATGGATTTTCAATTCACATAGTAAATCTGGAAATGAAACCTAAGTAATGCATATAAAGCTAAGCTGCATTTCCACTCTGATCAAATGGCCAAAATACTGACATTTTCCTTTCTGATTGTCACTTTGCAAGAGTTACTTTCACTCATGTATTGAGTGGGTACCTCTCCATTCGTCTTATGAATCTGCATATGCAACTTTTGATATATAGCTAAAGCATCTACATTTCAAATATCTCTCTTCCATAGGTCTTTATTCATTGTCCAGCATCTGTGAAGAAAAACAGAATTAACATTGTGGGCCCAGTGACCCTTCTTCAGAACTGAGGTTTTCCAGCAATTTCTGTTTTTTATTCAAAACATTTGTGAGGAGCTTTTTCAAGTCAGCTACTGGTATTTAGAATCATACCATAGTAGACACTGGAAATCAATGACATTTGCAGCATTGGTTTCTGAATTTCTTTGTTCCCTCCCTCTACATGGCAAATACTGTGGAGATCCCTACCTTCCTCTGTAGACCTTTCTTCTTGCACCCGTAGACGTTAGAAGCTTTTATCTAATTGCTGCTTCTTACCCATGGGTTTCAATCTTTGTGAAACTGATTGTAGGACACTATGCCACAATGGGTCCGTTGATTGTGTTGCAGGTACTGCACCAACTTTGTGATGTATGCTCATTTTAATTAGCTTAGCACTCAGCAAGCTCTAACTAGGGTGCGCATTGATGATGTGTTAGGAGGCAGTCAATGTTGTGACCTGTTTAGGCTGGCTTGTATTGCTTAAAGCTAGCCTGCACATTTTAAAGGGGAGGTGCATTTTTCATTATGTTTTATTTTCATTCTTCTATCAATTTTGGCTTGGAGCTGTGAACTGAAAACTGTTCAGATCCCTCTGCTCCTGCACCCCTCTCAGAATAGTATGCTTATTTTGTATTGTCTGTCCGTATTCTGACAAAATGCATCACTTTACATTTCTCTGCATTGAACTTTATCTGTCTCCTTTGCAGTCATTCTACCAACCTGCCAATGTCCTTTTTGAAGTTGTGCACTATTCTCCTCACGGTTTACAATTATTCCAAGTTTAGTATCATTTGCAAACATTACAATTGTACACTAGACATCAAGATCCAGATGATAATATATATCAGGAAAAGCAAGGTCCCTAGGGAACTCCACTACAAACCCTCCTCCAGCCTGAAAATCATCCCTTAACTCTGTTTCCTGTAACTCCCCCAGTTTTGTATCCATGTTGCTGCTGTCCCTTTTATGCCATGAACTCAAACTTGCCTCATATGTCTGTTGTGGGGTATTGTACATCACATCAACAGCATTACCCCCATCAACTCTTTATGTTATCTCATCATAAAAACTTCAACAAGTTAGTTAAACATGATTTTTGCTTTCAAAACCCATATTTAATCTTCTTAGTCAACTCATGTTTATCAACATGACTACTCATTCAATCCTGAATAATTGTTTCTAGAAGCTTCTCCACCACTGAACTTAAACAGATGACTTGTATTAGAACCTTTGCTGATTTTTCATTATTTTTTAGTTTTATTCTTTTATCACTTTTGGTTTGGAGTTATGAGCTGGAAATGACTTGTGGGACACTTGTGGTTAAAGGAAAATAACAGACTAAACAAGTTTTATTTGTTTGCAAGGCCAGACTTGGAGCATAATTGCAGGTTGATTCTTGATTAAATGGGATCTAACAGACACACCAATCCCAGGAAGAGCATAATGTTTAAAAAGATAGGAGAAGTTGGCTATAAATGAGGTCAGTACCTGGAATTTGGTTCTAGCATGTCTGGAAGAGACCCTATGTACAAGCAGATGGCAGATGTTGAATGGTATTTGAGGCCACAGGAAGAGACAATCAATCTATCAGGGCAGAACCAGAATTTAAGTTGTTTCTTTGAACTATGTTTTCTGACAAGTGTGCTTCGTTGCTGACGAGACAGCATGAAAATTTGAAAGCTCTGTTTCAGAAACCCAAAGTGTAGAGAGTTGAGTTAGAAGTATTATTAGCTATATCTGAATGAACTCAGATCGTTCCAGAAAAGCAAGCAAGGAGTCCACACCTCTGCCTGTGAAACAGCACATCATGAAAGCCATTTAATTAAACTGGCCAGCTTTGTCATTTCATTTACTCCTTAATTGTGTTGGCCTATCAGTTTTTTTGTATGAATGGAGGCTGAAAACAAATATTTCAGTTTTAAAGCATAGACATTAATCAGCTTACCTTGTTGTTTAAAGTTTCTACTGCTAAAGTTATTGTGTATTTAATAAGTAGTTAAGTCTTTTGTTTGAGATACAATTAATTATTAACAAAGTTTGGGGTTGGCTATTCAAACGTTCAGTGAAGAATGTTTGGAGTAATTATTTGGGTGTCTTCAGTGATTTAATTTTACTGTGTGTTGAATACAGAGGTGGAAAGGCTGATTTGGTTGGTGTTTTGCCTCCATGTCGTAATGTCTGAAATTGCTGGATTTATCCTTACAATGTTTTCTGAACAAGGGCAGGATGTCTGAAATTCTCCAGTCTTTTGGCACATCTTCAGAGTTTAAGGAAGACTGAAAGGTTACGGCCAGTTTCCCTGCAATTTCCACTCCCGCTCCAAATACGTCAAGTACATATCTAGTAGGACTCCTGTTCTGACTCTTCCTTATGAAAAGGACAAGAGATGTCCTGTATCTGCAGGAAGGCAGAGCACAGATGGAGATGAATCACTGTGGCCAAGGATCTGGATACAGTATGGCAAGGTCAATGACATGCAGTCAAGGTTTGAGCTTATAGTATCCAATTGCACCGTCAGCTACGGCTGCTGCTCAAATCACAGCCTCATCCTGCACCCAGCGGCAATCTCCTTCAGTTCGGACTCACACATTACATGCATCTCCTTCACTGTACCCTCACATACTTGGCATTGCTGCAAGCCTTAGCCTTGCCAACAGTGGGATTGAAACCACTGAGCATGATGGTCTGTAATATGAGAAAGCGAGATGTTTTGCACTTTGGCAGAAAGATTAGAGAAGCTGAATATTATCCAAATGGAGAAGGACTGCAGAAAGCTACAGCACAGAGGGATTTGGGAATCTTCATGTATGAATCACAAAAAGCTAGCTTACAAGTTCAGGAGGTAATAGGGGAGGCAAATGGAATGTTGGCCGTTATTTTAAATAGAACGGAATATAAAAATAGGAAGATCTAGCTAAACCATGTCAAATTACAATTAAGGTCAATTGTAGGAAACATGCCCAAACAGTTTCTTTAAGAATGTCCTCTAAGTGGAGTTAGTGATCAGATTTTTGGAAAGAAAATAATTTATACTCATTTGACGTTAATATGAAACGTGCTTTACGAGGGACAAAGTCAGACGTCACATGGCACTAGGTTCAGAACCTAACCATCCAAGTCACTTGCTTATTCTCTAGTTCCATGGTCTTTGCTCTCACAGGGTCCAACACAAATCCATTTAGGGAAGAATTCTTTTATAACCCCCTTCATGTGTTCTCTGTTAGCCGCTGCTTTTAACAGTCCCTAGTAATGATGTGGAGGTGCTGATGTTGGACTGGGGTGGACAAAGTCAGATGTCACACAACACTAGGTTATAGTCCAACTGGTTTATTTGAAATCACAGGCTTTCGCAGCACTGCTCCTTTGTCAGCTCTTCCCTCCACTTCACCTGACAAAGGAGCAGCACTTTGAAAGCCTGTGATTTCAAATAAACCTGTTAGACTATAACCTAGTGTTGTGTGACATCTGACTTTGTCCACCCCAGTCCAACATCAGCACCTCCACATCATTACTAGGGACTGTTAAAAGCAGCGGCTAACAGAGAACACATGAAGGGGGTTATAAAGGAATTCTTCCCTAAATGGATTTGTGTTGGACCCTGTGAGAGCAAAGACCATGGATCTAGAGAATAAGCAAGTGACTTGGATGGTTAGGTTCTGAACTTTTATTGGTTTGGATGCCAGTGGAAATGAGTGAGGACATTGATATTGGAATGATTTCTGAACCTGTTTCACAAGTGCCACTGGAGGTGAAAAGCTTTCGTTCCATATTTAAGGACATCTCAGATAATAGCTGACCAGCAGGTGCCATTGTGGAGCTGCACGAAAAATAAATTGGATGTTGGGATCATACTGGGATGCTCATGGAGGAGAGGGTTTGTGGAGATTGCACAGGAAGGCTGATACAAATGTTTATAAGATTGTAAAATCTTTTGAACCTCTGGCCCAACCTCCAGTTCAAATAAGAATGATCGGAAAGTGCTGAGAATATTCAACAGGTCTGACAGCATCTGTGGAGAGAAATGAGAGATAGTATCTCAGGTCAAGGACTATCCTTGCTCTCCTTGACCTGAACGTTAGCTTTGTTTCTCTCTCCACACATGTAGCCTGCCCTACTAAGTATTTCTAGTGTTTTCTGTTTTCATTTCAGATTTCCAGCTTCTGTCATATCTTGCTTTTGTTTTGATGGTTAATTTCTTTATGGCTTCTTTAATTTGGAAACCATGTAAAAAGCAGATTAAATGTAAGACTAGATGAAAATAAGAATTGGTAATGATGCATTAACTGCCGTCCCTTACAGATACTTCAGGCTCATGGCATATCTCCCAGCTTCTCCGTTCAATTTTAATTATCCCAAGATTTGCTTGATTACCTTTATGGAGTTCAGGGAAGCATTGTGTAAAACTTCACTGCAGGAGAGTTAATAATCAGAGATTATATTTGGTTCATAAAATGAGTTGGGTTTAAGCTGCTGTGAGGCCTTTAGACATTGTACACTTTATGTTCTAACATTTTGTGCTTTCTAAACATGTTAATAAAATTTCTTCCGATCATTATTTACATTGAAATTGTAGAACGTAACAAAACAAAAGGAAAAAGCTTGTCTCTTAATTGAAAAGGATCGCAACTCGTGAAGTTGTGGAATTGTACCACAAGTTAATGACATCATTACACATGATTTGTACACATCAAATAGTCGACAGCTGGAACTATGTTCACTTTACACCATAGAACAAGGCTATTTGGCCTGTCATTTCTGTACGTACTATGTGACCTTGTGTCCATCAGAGGTATTTACAGTTTCTGCCTATACTTTCTATTGTGGCAAGGAATTCCATTCTTTCTCAGCATAAAGGTGATTTTCTCCATGTTTCTCTGCACTTTCTCTTCAATAAACCCTTGGTGCTATTTTATCCCAACTCCCTGGTTTTGAGGCCAATTGTTGTACCCAAGCTATAGCTCAGCTAAGACTAAATAATTTACCAATTAATACCAGTGAGAATTCCTAAGAGCTTGTCGGTTTGTGTAACCCAGCACTGCACTGTATTTCGTAATCATTGATTGCGGACGATTATGTTGAATTACTCAGTAGCTGTTTTAGTTCTTGTTCTGATGAATAATTTCTGAGGTATTACTTCTTGGAATTAAGAAATGAGTGGGATATTTTGGTTCGTAACAAGATGCTGTCTTGCATGATTATGATGGATTGTGTTGATGACTGTTGATAAAAATATGTTGTCAAATTGATGTGTAAATATTCCCTAAACTGTATCACTCTTATTGCTTCCAGTTGAAGCGCTTAGTGAAAAGGAGCAACAGAATGAAGCATTAAACGAGAGGGAGCCATGTTCAGCCTCCAGCAGTTCATCAACCAGCAGCACATTGGAGAGGGAAGAGAGGGCAGACAGACAGGCGGGCAATAATGAGACAGGCAAGAGAGATTTCATCTTCTAGTTTCCGTTCATTCCCCAGGAGCAAACCGTAGGAACAGCTGCTAATAGCTGTGCTACAAACAAAGGGTATGCATTTCTCAGTAAACAGCAAGAAATGTTCCTTTGTCAAAAATAAATAGGATGGTGCATTACCAGTTTAACCAACCCCAAAAGAACCGCCTGCTTTCCTTTCCATATTAAATAAAGAGGGAAGTGCTGAAAGCTCGGTTGTTTTATAAGTATCCAGAGGGTTTTTGTTTTAATGTGATCGAAAGAACTCCGGGCTATTTGCCAGAATACACACTTAGCTTCAACTCCCTTGCCTGGCAGAATAAACTACTTGTAATTTGACGTTTATGTTTAGGAAAAAAGAGTATGTAAATTGTTTAGATCAGATGGTCACGTTCTTTGCTTGGTGCAAAACAACTGTTGTGCTCTGTTTAGTTTTAGTTCACTTTGCTGAACAGAGCACTGCGCGGAGTGAAACGTACAGCAAAGCTCCGAGTTTGTTTCCCATCTTGATGAGGAACGTCATTTTGCTTTCGTAAGCTCAGAATGGTGGTGTGTGGGACCTCAGGGCCTTGTTCCAATGTTGGACACCAGAAAAGTAAGCAGAGAGAGTGGGGATTTACTGTTAGCTTTAGTGTTGTCTTTTCAGGTTGAAACATTAAAAAAGAAGTGCTTAGAAATGATTTGATTGTTTAACAGGTTCGTGAAACTTATTATGTTTGGTATATTGCTTGGCTGCAGGTCGATGCATCATCCGCCAATCCAGCCTGGATCAGTGCAGTGCCATCTCCAATGACAAGAAATTCATGCTCGACATGCTTTATGCTAAAGCCAAGGGCAATAACCTTCAGCTCACCAAGGAAGAGAGTCCTACTGAAAGTGAGAGGCGAGTCACTGAAAAGGCTTCGGTGGAATCTACCGAGAGTCTAATCAAACGCTTTTCCAGGCAGGCCAGCCATCAGATTGAGGACAGCGATAAGAAGCCCAACATTGAAAGCATCCCCGGGAATGTAAAATCCACGCTGGAGAAATTTGCAGAACCTCAGGTTAAGGCTTTGAAGGAACAGTTCAGCATTGAGGCTGAACTTAATGAGAAGAATGTGGAGAAAACATCCATTATGAAGAAGGACTCTGAGCACATGTGGGACCAACTGGAAGCGAGTCCTAGAGTGCTCAAAATCAAAGATTTAGATTTCACAGATCTCCGTGAGGAGGAGGACATCGATGTGCTAGATATAGACTCGTGCGTGACCAAGGCAACTGCTCAACAGGATCTTTCTGGATCACCTGGGAGTTCAATGGTTCCGTCGGCGCTGCCGCCACCTCCCCCTCCCCTGCTTGGAGGTCCACCTCCTCCCCCTCCCCCACCCCCACCGCCTGGAGGTCCTCCTCCCCCACCCCCACCGCCACCACCTTTTGCACAGCCATCTGGCCCCCCTCTACCTCCCCCTCCTCCACCCACTAATGTATCCCCTTCACAGGGAGCGAACTCTACATTAACAATGAAGAGAAAGACTGTCAAGCTCTTCTGGAAGGAACTGAAGCAGCCCGAAGGCCCCTCCAGGAGCTGTAAATTTGGCCGGGGCACTGTCTGGGCTTCCTTAGATAAAGTGACAGTGGACACCACTAAGTTGGAACATCTGTTTGAATCCAAAGCTAAGGAGTTACCAACGAAGGTAAGGATTCATCTGTCTTTTGATTGCTTGAAAAACTAAGTAAAAAACCTCTTTTACATGCCTTAAGAATTGCATGGCAATAATGTCTGCTTCAAATGAGACTGTGCTTTCCGTTGGGGCAGGTTATAGCTGATTAATGTATTGAATCCCCTTTGAGGATGTTAAAGATGCGGTGGATGTGGGTGAGGAGCCTGGGCATATTTGTATTGCCATGATTTCAGAAGGGTGATGCTGTGGTAAGGGTGATACCAATGAAGTCCACAGGAATCAATGGTCTCATAAATGATTTGGCAGCTGGAATATTGGACCCAGCTCTAACGGGTCTAAATTTACAGATTACAGCAAGCTGGATACCATGTCCAGTGATGCTAATCAATGCACAAGTATCAATACCAATGGTCATAAGAGGAGAGAGGCAAAATAGAGAGATGCAGAGAGAATTTGACACTGATCAGTGTTTCTTGGCAAGATTATTAGATACTGTTAAAGCACCTAATTTTCACTGGACTAAAAAGCAAATGAAATTTTTGACATTAGCTTGTAACCTATAAACCACAGGTGATGTGTAAATTATATTGGTAAGACCACATCTGGAGCTCTTTTTCAATTTTGTCACATAGAAGTAAGATAAGGAGGTGTGACAAAAATTCTCAGTTGCAGTGACCCTGCTCATTCCTGTCATATTTGAAAATTAACCACCACTTCTGGATATCTTAAATGACTGAAACGGGATGCTGTCCACCTGACATGTGCCATGTGCCTTTCTTCACTTTCTAGAAAAGTGAACTGGTAAGACACTTAAGTGGTTTACTTTACAATTGCTAAATGAAAATACTGAGCAACAATTACAGCAACTTTCACACGATCCAACTTAACCTGGTTTGTAAATAAGATAAATAACTAACCATGATGGTTCTGCTGCTTATTGGGTTATTTGGTTTTAGTCAGTTTTGGCATTGAACCATACCAAGGTGTCTATTGACCCTGCTTGGTTCTATTGCTAACGTTCCTGGGTGTCTTTCTGCAGCCTGTGCCAACTGGCCTTCACTCTGTGTGTCTTTCTTTATTATTTCCTGGAGATTTTGTTCGAGACCCTTTTCTCTTGCATCGCCTTGGACAGTAGAGCAAGCAATTTAAGCAATTTTAAATTCATCCTCAGGTAAGCATCAATAACAGTGAACTCCCTGCCTGGATGATTAGAGAACACTCTTTTGTCAGAGTCAGGATTTGAAGATGAGACACACGGTGTAAAGTAATGAATGCCACAGCATAGTAACTCCAGGCAACTATGTTCCGAATAGGATAGTGATAGACCTGTGGGAAAAAATTACCACTAGGGATGGTGGAATAAAAAGCCATGACAGGATATTAAAAAAAGGATGAGAATATTTACTGCTAGTGAACTAGTATTTGTCCAAAATCAGGTCAGGATCCTGAGAGAGAGTTTATAATGATCGATAATATGGATCAATAGTTTTGGCCCGTGTGAAGTGATGTACCATGTTACTGCCATGCCTTTCTTAGCTAGTGTAGGAACTTATCGTATTATGTCAGCTGCTGAAGATTCAACTGTGACTAAGATCATAAGGTGCTCCATCCAGATAAAGTTGTCAACTTTAACTGCTCTTATTCCACTCAATGTCAGTCCAGTGTCAGGTTTATTACTATGAGGACTAGATGATTGATGTTCAAACTGTGTTCTCAAATACCCTGTCTTCATCACCATTCCTAGTTGCCCTTGAGAAAGAGGTGGTGAGCTGCTGCTGTGAATCATTTCAGTGCATTTGTTGTAGATACACCTACAGTGCTATTGGGGAGGGAGTTCCAGGATTTTGACCCAGTGATACTGAAGGAACGGCGATGTATTTCCAAGTCCGGATGGTGAGTGGCTTGGAGGGGAATTTGCGGGTGGTGGTGTTCCCATTTATCTGCTGCCCTTGTTCTTCTAGATGGAAATGGTCACAGGTTTGGAAGATGCTGTCTGAGGAGTCTTGTGAGTTTCTGCAGTGCATCTTGTGGGTGGTGTTTTGTGTAAATGTAACTTCATTCATTTTCTATGCAGAAATGCTGCAGCAGTGCTTCACCTGAGAGCTGATGCGAGATTAAACTTAGAAATTCAGAAGTTCAAAAGAAGATCCACAACTCTGACCATTGGCATTGCAAAAACAAATCTCATTTAGCCATTGAAATGCATGAAATGACTTGAGGTTGCTGTATTTTCACAGTAGATACAAATTAAATCCACCATGGAAAATTTAGTCTTGTCCACTTCTGTTTAAGTATCCTTTTTAATAATGGGATAAATGCTCATTATCTTCAGTCAATCTCTCTCCAACACTGAACATTCATTATTACCAGTGGAGTCTCACTTTGTCAGGTTTTAATTGTTGTTGAAGATTTTTAAAATATTGAAGCTAAAGTACTTTTGCTTTTCTTTTATGAACATCTTCCTTTTGCTTTTGAACCAGTTTTTCTTTCACTTTTTGCACTTCTATCTATATCCTATCTGATTTGATTCCACCCAATTTACTTGGTCCGTTTATCTCAATCCTTCCCCTGTTAATTTTACAATCCTTAAATCTAATTGTTTAAGGAGCTATACAGTTGCTTGCCTTGTTCACTCAAATCCAAGATGCCCAAATTCCTCACTGCAGTGTTATTAGCTTATATTTTCAGTAATCTCACTGCTGCTGATTACCCTTTATGTTTGTTATTCGGATGCTTTGGTATCATCTTGAAGACTGTTGTGGTGCAGCAGTAGTGTCCCTATCTCTGAGCCAGAACATATGGATTCAAGTCCACAGGTGTGTCCTAACATGTCTGAATAAATTGATTAGAATATATCTGCACTTTCAGCAAGTTGCATTGTTAAACGTTGTTACATCTAAACACACAAGGACAGGTCTGACTAACTGAAGACACTGTTGAATGTCCTACCACAACCAAGTATTGCTCATTGTGATTTCTGTTAGTGTTGCCTCTTCTAATTTTTAATGAATGTATTTTGATACAAAGAGCAATATAAGAAATTCATAGTCAGAAAGCCTTAAATGTGCATTCCCATTCTTCTCTGAAATAACTGTAGAGAGACTGGCATCCCATCACTGAGTCACCCTATATTTAAATGTGGAGAGTCCTTGACACTGATCCAGCTCCCTCAGAGTGAACAGGATGTCTGACATTTCTGTTTGTATCTGTCAGCCAGCGCTCCCTGATTGGGGCTGTTAATCTGGTCCAATCAGGGAACTCATATTCTGTGATATCCATCTGGCTGACCTCGTTACAATCACTACCTTTTCCTCTTTTCCTTGCTATTCCTATAGTCCTCTGTATCATCTGCATTGATTTTGAAGATCTTACTACAGCAAACAATTCTATGGGCTATCTTTGTGCATCAATCTTGTGTGTCTGTCTCCCTGCTGTTACAATGTATCCCCCTGGAACCTGTATTTTTATTTGCGGTTTCTCGTCTGACCTCTTGGATACTGGGAGTTTGAGCTTCGTACAGTTTGACAATGAATTAGTTTACTCAGAGAGAAAAATGTGATTTTGCACCTTTGCACCCGTATCAATGGGAGCCTCAGTATCTATCTGTTCATTATCGATGATCCCATCCACATGTGCCAATCTCTATCAAAGGATTCCTCCAAGCCCACTCTCCTAGTTTTCTTCCAGGAGATTACTGGAAATAGGAGATAACCTATTGGCATATCCCTGCCCCTTCCTGCATCTCCAGCAGATATTGAACCTGACGCCCTAACCATTGTGGGATGAGGTACAATCAATGACTTAATGTTTTAAATTGCACGAGTCAGGTTTCTTTAAGTTTGCAAAAAATATTGTAGTTTGTTTTAATTGCAATAAGTTGGAAAAAAGGAAGTTTTGCACTTGTTGCAACCTCTAGATGTCCTCAGCCTTTAAAACCAATTAAGAAGTTTAGGTATGTGTTCACTGTTGCAATGTAGGAAATGTGGCAATTAATCTGTGCACAGCAAGATCCCATGAATGCCAGTTTTATACTAGTCAGATTGTCTGTTTCATTGACATAGATTATTGGCTGTAACCTGTGGAGGAGTCCTCTGCTGCTCTTTAGTTTTTGCCATGCGATCATTTGCTTTGGCTTGAGAGATTAGGGAAGCCTCGATTTAATTTCTCATCTAAACAATATCACCTCCAATAGTGTAGTTCTCCATCAGTACGCTACAGTGTGTAAGCACATAATCCCGACTCGCACTTAACGCTCCGTAGATTAGACATGAACCCACAACCTTCTGATTCAGAGGCAAGAATCTTACCACTGAGCCTGGTAATTACTACATTGATTTATCCGTCACTGCGTGCTGTATATTACTGTGTTTAACAAAAATCTGCAATATTATTGTTGCAAAAGTAGGTAAATATTGGAATCATCATGCTCAAATCTCAAAATGAGGTACAATGGTAGCAGTGTCAAATCATACCAGACTGCCAGTGCACTGTACCACAGTTTACGGTTCATTGATCAATTACTGATTCAGTGAGCTAATTATTCAGCGATCCCTTTTGGGAAGGTACAAAATGTGGATCAAGCATTTCCTGATTAGAGAAACTCACTGATCTGTATCCCCACAGTGGTTAATCTTGAGAGGCTCCTGCCGAGAAACCTTAACTACATGCAGGGAGGATATTACCTGTAAATAAAGTTGCAACGTTCGCTAGTTTTCTGCTATGGTGTGTGACTTTTCTGGAATTTTTAACAAGTACTGCTAAGATCTCCTGAACCTGTCAGCGAAATTAAAATGACCTGGGTTATTATTTGACACACACACTTACAGAGCTGCGATTAATTCTTCATTGTTTGAATCATCTCCTGTTTAAATCATGAAAAGGTTTGTAAAACCACAACCTGGAATGGAGATATTTCTGGTTGCGTTGTTTCAGGGCCTTTGGGAATTTTTAATTCTGTGAATTTGGCCCCAGGTGTGTTCAAGGAAGCAATGAGATGTCAGAATAATCACTCCCAGATTTGATAATTGTTGTAAATGTTTAACCAATGAATCTTTTGTAGTGCCTGAAAGAATTTAAAGAGTCATAACAAAATAATAAGCACATTTAACTAATTTGCAAATTCCCTAGATTCTAGAACAGGTCTAGTGGATTTGAAGTTGGAAAATGTAACATCGTTATTCAAGAAAGGAAGGAGAGTGAAATCAAGGGCTGATAGGTCAGTTAGCCTGACATCAATCACTAGGAACACATTGTTAAGGAACTCTTAACAGTAAACTTAGAAAATCACATATAATCAGACAAAGTCACCATGGTTTTACAAAAGGCAAATTGTGCTTGACAAAGTATTAGTTTCTGAGGATGTAGTTAATAACAAAAGGAAAGCAGTAGAGGTAATATGGTTGGACACTCAAAGCCATTTGGTAAAATGCTTCACAAAGATTAATATGCAAGTTATGGAGCTGGAGGTAATACATTCACGTAAGTAAAGAATTGGTCAACGGAAAAGAAGCAGGGAGTTGGGATAAACAAGATATTTTCAAATGGGTAAGACATATACCAATTCGGTGAGTGGGAAACAAGGAGGCAGATGGTGTAGAAGGTAGGGAAGTACAAGTTAACTCACATTGGCAGCAAACACATAAAAACAGACTGGTCTGGGTTTTCATGCAGAAAGGAGGTAGCCCTGTTTTTCTGACAGGAGATTGTGGTTAGGACACCCTCAGAAGCACGGAGCTGTGCTTCCACTCTGACAGTTGTTTCACAGCAATGTACTGGCGGAGGAAGGCAAACCACACCCCTTTCTTCACAGCAGTCCATTGCTGTGTACTAACATTAAAAGGTCCAGCATCACAGCCACTTTGACAGCTCCTGTCAAACAGTAAGCGCATACAAGAAGGGTGAGGTTATGGTGCTGAGAAGTTAAGGAACCAGATGGGTATGGGTGCTTTGTGGGTTGGATGCCAATTGCATGGTGGATAGATACATTACTGGAGTTTAAAAAATGATAGGTAATCCCATTGCAGAAACATGTATCATTTCTGCATAAATCTGAGATAGAAAATCTACTACAGGGGGCACACCGCATCAGAATTAGGGGGCAACCACGGAGGACCGTGATGAGGTGAAATTTCTTCATTCAAAGGGTTTTGAGTCTTTGAAATTGTACAATGCAAAGGATTGTGAATACACCGTCAGTTAAATGCATCCAGGCTGGGATGGGCAGATTTCTAGTGTTTCAGGGAATCTAGAGATATGGGGAACAGGCAGGAAATTTGGATTGAAATAGAAGATGAGTCATGATTGTATTGAATAGTGGAGCAGGCTAGAGGGGCCACATAGTCTGCTCCTGTTCCTAATTCTCATGTTCTTAAGGTTGAGAGGATCTTTATAGAAGAAAGGAAAAATATTTTACATAACAGTGAGAACCATGTCAGCCTGTACTTTCTTTACCCTTATTGTAGACTATGAATTAATGCTGGGTAAGTATCTGTCTGTGATAGCACTTAACTGCCAACTTTAATTCAATTCAACTTGGAAATTTGTTGTTCTTTTGCAAGTTGTAAATTGTAAGACCACCAGATAATGACATTCCCTGTACTTCCTGCTGAATACCAACTCCATGCTCCAGGAAAGTCTGACCGAACTTCCTGTTGTTCAGATTGACAATGGCTGGAATTGAGATCTGTTATTGGCTGAAGTGTAGACAGGAAAAGTGCTTTGGTGTTTTGATCAATGTGCTTGTTGATTCAGGTTAGGTTTTTATGCTGTTTCTGTATATGATATTACAACAGTATCTGCACTGCAAAAGAACTTCATTGGCTAAAGGGACATCACCAGGCTCGCAAATGGTACTCTTATCATATTGAAGTTTGTTCATTCCTCCTTAATTTCTCATTCTTGCCCCTCTTTTCATCTCCTGAGTGATATGACTCTGTGGTCAGGAGATGGTTTTTGAACAGTAGCCATTCTCCATCCATGAGGCTTTTGAAAGTGAGTGCCACCAAGACACTCCTCCAGAGTCCACACACGCGCTTTTCCAGCAGAATACCATTTATATCATCTCCCTGTCGCATGGACTGAGGCACCAATTGTAACAACTAGAATTCGTTGTGGTGCTGGTCAGTGATGCAACTTGGGATCTTTCTAGTCTCGATAATTCAACGACCTGCCGAGATAAAAATTACTGAACTGTCAGTGGAATGCAAATCATATTTGAAATAATCTCATGCAGTATTCTTCTATTCTTTTGTATTAAAAGAAGAAGCATTACTTTGTGAGTGGGTGGGTGCCACTTTAATATCCTTTTATGGAGGCTTTGTCTTGAAGGTCCCAATGAATATGTATAATGTTAGGTTAACAGACCAGAAGATATTTCAGATTAAAAATGATGGCCTTATTTAGAGGTACAGGGATCTGTGTCATTCCCACTCCTGAACCATAGACTGGTGCTGGAAACCTGCAAAGATGAGTGCGAGAGAGCTGTGACCCCACTCTCTTGTAAAAGAAAGGTTAGCAATTTACACACTGACTTTCACTGTCTCAGAATGTCACTAAACGCTCTACAGCCAATGAAGCAACGTCACTGTAGCAATGTAGGAAGCACAGTCTCCAACTGACAGAAAAGCGGGTGAACAATACTGATCAGCATTTGCTGTTAGGGTGTGCAGTGCCCAGCTGCTGAAATTGTAGCCAATGTCAGCTTGGTAGCACGCACCCGTCTGAATCCTCTGACATTGCCAGCCTTAATTAAGGATGTTCTTACAATGCATAAATTCAGTACATCTCTCCTCACTGTCAAAACATTCTTCTAAATTTGTGATATTTATGGAATACACAATGGTTAACTGCTATATGAAGAATAATGATGTTACAAGGCATAAGACATTAAAAAATAGGACAGGAGTAGGCTGCTTGGCCTCTTGAGCCTGTTCTGCCATTCATTAGGATCATGGCTGATCCGATATTCCTCACCTCCAGTTTCCTGCCCTTTCCCTGTAACCCTTGATTCCCCAATTGATCAAAAATCTATCTATCTCAGCCTTAAATATATACAAGGATTCTACCCCCACAACTCTCTGTAACAAGGAGTTTGAAAGACTCTCAACTTCCAAGAGAAGAAATTCCTCCTCATCTCAGTCTTAAACTGGCTCCCCTTTGTTCTGAGACTGTGCCATCTGGTCCTAGACACCCCATGTAATCGAAGTCCTGGTGACTTATAGAACATTTGGATATTCCATAGCTATCTGTTATCTCTTAAAAATCTGATGTGAGTTTTATTTTAACTTGTCAATAATTCCAGTACTTACCCGGGATTGGCTACAGAAAATAAGATCGAGAGAAATCAGTAACTTTTTTCATGAATTGCTTTCAAAATTAGTTTGTGAAAAATGCCTTTTGGTTAGTGAGGACTTAAATTAAGTATGTTCTTTTAGCAGATGATCTGCTGACAGCACAGGTAGACTGTCCATATGGAAAATAGGGGGATTTCTAGAGGACACTCAAGTGTTGTTCCAGACCTACAATCACCCACTTTACTGTGAAAATGCTAAAGAGTCGGATCCAAGAAAACTGATGCTCAGGGGATTATGAGAACTAACAGCCTACCTGCTTCCTCTTCACACTGCAGCTTAATTGTCTTGTCTGGGTTTATTTGATAATAGATGGCTAGTGGTGATGAATGTCAACACACACAGTGGATAAACTTTGCAGCCATTATATCCACAGGTGCCCCAAAAGTATAGCTTTTTGTGCTTCAAATGTGTGTGTTTGTGTGTGTGTGTGTGTGTATGTGTGTGTACATACAATATATATCATACATATTATATGTATAAAATGAAACAACCAAACTTCCCCTTGGTGTTGCTGTTTTAACTTCTAGAAAGGAGGAGATGCCAAAAGGCAAGGATTAGTCGTACTGGATCCAAAGAGGAGTAATGCAATTAACATTGGGCTCACAGTATTACCACCAGTTCATATCATCAAAAATGCCATCCTCAACTTTGATGAATATGCAATAAACAAGGAAGGTATTGAGGTAAGGCGTCCAAATTTGAAACTTTTAACAAAGAACAAGAATAAGAATGGGAATATTAGGTTGCAACCATCGCTTGCTCCAACATTGGCAAGCATCAGTTAGTACTTGGATTTAGATTTTATACAGATATATGAAATTGCCGGGCAAGGAAAGATAAGTTGACCCACTAAGGTTTACCTGCACTGTGATGCCCAGAGATTGAACACTTCTGTGCTCTTGCGCAATTACCCCTGCAGCCGCACATGATTGCTAACTTTCATTCATACATCAAATTAACAAGTGCAAAGGAACCGAATAAAATTCAATCTCTATAGAGCCCGTCTGGCAAAAGGAAGCTTGCACCAGTTTTACTGTGTGCCACTCAGTTGTTTTTGTAACTAATACCTACTTGTTGCTTTAGAAATTCCAACACTTTCACTGTGGAGATTACTGAACTGGCAGCATGACATGGAAAACATGCTTTTTGAAGTGCAGACAAATGTGACTAAACATGGTGTGCTGACAAGAAAGTCAGCCAGAAACTGTTTATTTTTTCAAAATTAAATGTAATTTCACTGCTGATTTATATTTTAGAAATACTTCAAATGTGCCAAGCCAAGTCTAATTCCCCTGCACAAAAAAAAGGATGTAGACCTAGTGGTTCTCCTTTGCTTTATGCTCTATAATAAACAGGAATTCCACCTTGCTAATTGACCCCAAGATTAGTTATAAACCCTCATTCCTGGGAAGGACTTCATTAGTTCCATTAGTTGTCTCCTTTCTCTTCCTCTCTCCTACTGCCTTCTGGGAATACAGCAAGATTTACAATGGAGCCTCCACAAATCTTGCCAACTCCTCAACCCTAGGGCATTAAATTCAATTTATGTTGTTTGTAACATGCACATCCTCATTCTTATAGCTAATTTATAAAATATCTACAGCAAAACCTTGGGAGGCTCAATTACCTGCCAACATCCATTATCTTGTTGGTTGGAGGTTGGGGCTTATCATTATGGGGACTTTGAAATCTACCTGAGACCAAACATTGAGTGAGGAACTTTGCACCTTCTTTATCCATAGATACTTTTATATTCTCATTGTCAAGAGAATAGTGTTCACCTCTAAGACGCATTTCTCCCCACTTATTTTCATTTGTGCTGCCAGTCATACCAAGGGCTAAAAACCGGAGGCCTGTAAATTTTGTGGCTAAGTAGATTGGGATCTAACTGCACAAGTTCAGCTTTAGATGGAGAGTTTTGAATGGTTGTTGTTGAGATCTGCGTAGATCTGGTCATACAGATCATGTCATTCTGATAAGGTATGACATCAGTAAGAACAGGATACACTAGCTGTTCACAAGAACTCTTGTAAAACTGTATTATCATAATGCTACACAGCTCACTGAGACAATGTATTTTCAGTTTTCCTGATGCTTCATAAGTGTGCTATGGGGCATTTTCAGTTACTTCTGTTTTCAATCCACTCTCAAAGCCAAATGTGAGTGTGACTTAATAATAACATAATATATCATTGTGTTTAACCAGGGTAGTGTCAGTTGTTTAGGAACAGAAGCAGTTCATTTAGTCCCTTGAGTCTGTTCTGCCACTTGATTAGATCAATGCTGATCTGTCTCTTAACTCCATTTACAACCTTCTTGGTTTCATGTTTTATAATGCCCTTGTCTTAAAAAAAACTATTTATTTCAGTTTATATAACCTGCCTTTTAAAGAGGGTTTTTAAAAATATTAGTAGGAGTTCATTGTGGAAATAAAAGGATACTCATGTTTGGAATGTTTTTTCTTTATGCTTGAAGACAGGCCCTTGGTGACTATTTACTGAACCATGGCTAAGTACCATGAGCTTTTAATGTGGGCAGGGCAAGGAGACAAGCTGTAATATGAACTCATTCTGAATGCACCTGAAAACCTGCACTGATATACACCAAGCAATGCTCTAGCCCTCAAACCAACTGAGCTAACTGCTATTACATTCACAGTACACCTGTTTTAAAATGAACATGTGTAAAGACAAAATCCTATTCTATCTAATTAGTTGAAGGATGACTTTTTCAGACTAATTTAATTGTATTTAGTTAATGTGTCGAATGACTACAATTACCACTGATAACGCCACCATCCTTCCCCCTCCTGTTTTTTAACAGAAAATATTGACCATGGTGCCCACAGAAGAGGAGAAACAGAAGATCCAAGAAGTCCAGTTGGCGAATCCTGATATTCATCTGGGAACAGCAGAACAATTCCTTTTAACCTTGTCATCGATCAATGGGATTACAGCCAGGCTTCAGCTCTGGGCTTTCAAGCTGGACTATGAGCTAATGGAAAAGGTAGAAATTATTATCCAGTCTTTGTGCTACATTGCTAAGGAATGTTATAGCTTTAAAAAGGAATATAATCTCATATACTGGACTTTCTACAGAGTTCTGGATTTTGTGCAATGTGTCAGAACTGAAAACTAATTCATTGGGAAGACTATAAATAAATATTTATATATGATGTATGATACAATCCATAAAAATACTATATATAAATACAGACACACAGAGTTTATAGAATGCAGAGTGTAATGTAATTTATCAGTTGTGATGGATCTAAATCTTGATATGTTCTAGATAGCCAGACTGATAATGAGCAACTTAGGTAATCCTAGATGCTTAGATGGGTATGTAATTATATTTATTTGCAATTTAAGAGGAACATCGAAATATTTGGATTGACATGCACATGGTAGTTAGCAATGCTCAAAGATTCCACGCAATACATCATAGAACATGCTGATCTTTGATCTACCATAGGATTTGCAGCTGTAAAGTTCATGGCTGATAGGTTAATGGTTTTAGGAGGGTACTATAATTCAACAAGATTGTGAATCCATTTTACTAAATCTTTCACATGTTTCAGATTGCTTGCTTAATAATTTTTGCTGATTTAGTCTCTTCAAGTTTGACCCTCAAGAGAAAGTTTGCTCGTAAACTTCTGAAAGCAATCTTTTAACTTTTTGTTGTAGGAAATTGCGGAGCCGCTGTTTGACTTGAAGCATGGAATGGAGCAACTTGCAAAGAATAAAACCTTTAAGTGCCTTTTGGCAACTCTACTTGCGATTGGAAATTTTCTGAACAATTCCAGTGTAAGAAGCCAATATCATTTCAGAGTGATGGAATTGCAGTTTGAAACCCTCATGAAAGTTTACACAAGAGGTCTTGTTTCTTTTCTCCCATAGGCCAAAGGATTCGAGCTGAGTTATCTGGAGAAAGTGTCTGAGGTGAAGGATACACTTCAGAGGCAATCTTTGCTGTATCATATGTGTAACCTTGTGGTGGAGAAATTCCCAGACACAACAGATGTGTATTCCGAGATTGCAGCAATCACAAGATCTGCTAAAGTAAGTGCCAAGAAGATACCCACTGAGCTGAAATAAAAGCAAAATAAAGCAGACACTGGAAATCTGGAACCAAAAACAGAAAGTGCTGGAGAAATTCAGCAAGTCTGGTGGAGAGAGAGACATAATTAAAGTTTCAGGTCCAAAAACTCTTCTCCAGAATTGGAACTCAATTCTGAAGAAGTGTTTTTGGACTCAAATGGTTAACTCTGTTTCTCTCTCCAAGGACCTGCTGAGTTTCTCCAATACTTTCTGTTGTTATTTCACAGCATGCTGAGGTTTGGTGCAGGATGACGATGCTGATAAATTTGCTATTTTCTCTTTCATGAACCTAGTGGCATTAAGTATTCCAACAGCGTGATTGATATAGGGTTAGGTACACAGAAACGTTTCTGCTACTCAGTTCTATCAATGGTTTAATCCCACCTGAGAAACGTACCTGCTGCTTAACTGACAGGGAAGGTAGTTTCGGTCCCATCCCGGTCATGACCATATCCATCCTATAATCAGTGGTTATAGCTTTAGCCAACTTGTCATAAGCTTTGAAATTCCCTGCCCATTTCCTTTCGCCTTTCTACTGTTTAAGATAGATTTTTTTTGACCAAGTTGATGGTGATCTAATGTCTGTTATTGTCTCGATTTGCTCCTTTGAAGGATCTTGGGGCATTTTGCTCTGTTAAAGGGCCATGTAAATGTTGTTGCCATTGCACTGCAGCTAGCGTAGGTCCAAGTGCTACAATCTTCAGTCTTTCAGAACATACTGCAGCTGGGCTTGCAGTATTTCCCAGATTGTTCTTACCCTCCTGACAAGGCAGTAATGAGGAGTTAAAGCAAGAGTGGTCAAACTCAAACCTTGGAAGTGGCTAAATCTGTGCTCTGTGATAGGTGAGCTGGAGCTAAAATGCAGCTTTGTGGACGTTGTTTGTTATTGTTGTTCATGATATTGTGAAGGACTATTTGAATTTTAGCAGAACAGCAACGCCAGTGTGGAAAAGGGTCTGAGATGTTACAGTGTACATCAAAGAATGCAATCCTATATGATAATGAATTGTATTGTCCCAGGTTTTTCTTAGCAAATGGAATCGGTGGAATGTTGGACTGTCTTGCATATCTTGGGTCTTTTCAAGTTACCCTGTGCACTTGTACAGGTTTATAACTTTCTCCTTTACTCTGACCATTTAACAAATCAAATGCAATGTCTGTCTGACCAATGTGCCGCATATGTTAGGAGCAGCTACAATTCATAACTCGTTCTGCTGATGTGTGCTTCTGCTTTTAGCTGCATAGGTGTCATTTATGATGGGAAGTTGTTCTTAGGCTGCTCACATCACACGTTCTTGTGTCTGCATTCACAGGTTGACTTTGATCAGTTGGCAGAAAGCCTTGTTCAGCTGGAAAGAAAATGCAAAGCTTCATGGGATCACCTGAAGGTCATAGCTAAGCATGAAACCAAACCCGTTCTAAAAAACAAAATGACTGAATTTCTGAAGGACAGCACAGAAAGGATTATAATCCTCAAAGTGGTACACCGTCGGATTATAAACAGGTCAGAATCATTCACACATTTCTGGATGGTTGCCAGGATTTATAAAATTGAAAAACATTAATTGGTGAGACTCTTGTTAAAAGAAAAACACATTCTACAATCAACAACCCTTCAATGAATTGGCATCTAAGTGATTGTCCACTAGTTGCTTTCCTTTATTGCTATGGCGATGACCATCCGAACAGCCTAAAACATTAAGAGTAGGCCATTCAGTTCCACGATTCAGATAGAACATGGTGACATTGCACCTCAGCTCTATTCCCACTTTTGCCCCATATCTGTTGGTCTCTTTACCTAATAAAAGGAAAACTATTGAACTCAGTCTTGAAAATTCCAACTGACCTGGGATCCACAGCATTTCAGGGTGGATCATTTCAGATTTCCTATAGTGTGAAAAGGCTCCTGATTATAGCCTTGTTCAGATTCACTGTGTCTCTGTCTGTCTGTCTGTCACTCTCTCTCACATCTGTCTCTCTCTTTTTCTCCCTCTCTCTCATCTATCTCCTTCCCTCTGTCTGTCCGTGTCTCTCTCTCTCTCTCTCACTTACCTGTTTAGCTGTCCCTGTCTCTTGTCTGTCTGGCTGTTTCTATCTCTCTTTGTCGCTATCTATCTCTGTTTTCCTCAGTGTCTCTCTCGCTCTATCACAATCTGCCTATCTATTTATCTCTCTGTCTCTCTATCCTTCTCTCTCTGTCTTTTTAAGTTCAAGGCCTCGCTTAATGCCCTGTCAGGCAAAATAAGAATCATCATACCATATGCTGTGCCACATTTGGTTAGAACTTCAGCACACACTGCTTCCTCATGATTATGATCATTATTATTATATTGAAAATTTGAGTTCAGACAACTGCCATGGATTTGGAAAGGCAGAGACTGTACATATAGCGTTCCCAGAAAGTGCCAGTTTTGGAAATTGCTGGTTCCACCCACCCTCATATAAAGTATCATTTAGTTTCTGGTGCCTGTACTCAATTGAAAGCACATTCAGAGATTAAGATATATCTGTCTTTTCCTGAGAAACACATGGGATTCAGTACAGTTACAGAAAAAGACTTGCTGCTGCATTGCATGGTTTTGGATGTGGTACAGAGACCAAACACAAGTCCCAGAAGGTTCACTTCCATTCACTTAGCAACAAAAAGGAGGACACAGTGAGTAACTGAAGTGTACAGAACATAGGAGACTTTGCTATTGCACTGACGTAGCATAGCGGTACAGACTCAACAATTACAATCCGTCAGATTTCACATCCATGGTCACTGCCTCACAGTTCATTCTGGAATTGCAGCTGTGATGATTTCAGGGTCAAACGGCCTGTCAAGGCGTGTAATTGAAATGTATCACTGGAGGGCAGCTAGTACTGTGAAACCACCCCAGTAAAGAACCAATAGTTTCAGGAGAGGAAGAGAGAAAATCGGGGACCTGAGGCATTGTGCTAACGCGGAGGCCTGGACTAATGATCCGGAGACACAGATTCAAATTCAATTAATTAAACACATCTTGAATAAAAAGCTAGTCTCAGAAGTGGTGACCATGAAATTACTGATTTCTTTTGGACCCATCTTATTCATCACTGTCCTTTAGGGAAGAAAAGCTGCCATCTTTGCCCAGTCTCTATGTGATTCCAGAAACAGGAATATGATTGAGTCTTAAACATCTCCACTGCTGGCCTGGAAGGTAACTTTATTGTATTCAGACTCCCCAGTACCTCCTCCAGGATACACAGAGACAGGCAATGGGTGGTGACCAGTAACACACTCATCCTGGAAATGAATGCAAATAAAGGAAACATGAGACACAGTAGTTTCAGATGGTAAGGATACTCCAGAACAGGGGACACATAGCAAATTCAACAGAACCTTTCAAGTTCAATAGAAAACATTCTGTAAAACCATTGTTTCCAGACTCCTGCAATTACTGCTTGAAAGTGGCACTATTGTACCACTGCATTGAGCGAGACAGAGAGAGACTGCTGCATTTTGGACAAGAGAATACGTTTTTGGGAATGATGCAGCTGCACTGCGTAAAAGATAAGTGATTTGGAAAGATGAACCTGTTCTGCTCATGACTTCAGCTGAACTGTTTTGATTATTTAAGGCTTTCATTGTCTCCCAGTCATCTCCAGAGACACTCTGGTGCCTCCTGGTGGCCAATTACTGAGACTGTTTGTGGTCCCTCTGTGCCCACTCTTTCAGCTGTAAGGCAAACCAGGTGACTGAAAAAGTTGCAGAAGATTCTCTGAGGAATCAATTTCGCCACGAAAGAGTAAATTATAAACTTTCATTAGCAGTGCATGACATTTCAACACTGTACATTTCTCTATATTTCTTGCTTCAAGCCAGTCTAGTCTAATGGGATGGTTACATATTCCCTCTGCAATTTTGAAGGTTCCTATATGAACAAGCCTGAATTGGCTCTCCCCCGTTCCTCGTCTGCTTGGACCCTAAGATACAAATTGGCTATAAGTTCACAGTCTCTCCCAAAGTCAACCACAGATAACCGATGTGGGGAATGGAGAAACCTCTGAGGTTGGTGAAGTAACTCCACAGAGGCCGGTATCCTGTCACCAAGTCACTGTTTATTTACATGTGGAGAGTCCCTGACACTGATCCAGCTTCCTCAGAGCCTGTGCTCAGAGTGAACAGAACATCTGGCACTACAGTTCTTATCTGTCAGCCAGGGCTCCCTGATAGGACCAGATTAACAGCCCCAATCAGGGAACTCATATTCTGTGATGCCCACCTGGGTGACCTTGTTACAATCACTACTGTTGGGACAGTGTATTGAGAGCAGGTGTCTTATTGTGAGAAAGATAAGAAGGGTCTGAATATAGAAACAATAGTGTTCCATTTGCAGCATTAACATCCCTCACCTTGGTTCATCGTTTTGCTCCCCACTTCTAGCACAATGAGAAAAAGAACCCTTCATAATGCTGAGATAGTAGGAACTGCAGATGCTGGAGAATCCGAGACAACAAGGTGCAGAGCTGGATGAACACAGCAGGCCAAGCAGCATCATAGGAGCAAAAAGGCTGACGTTTCAGGCCTAGACCCTTCATCATGCCCGAAACGTCAGCCTTCATAATGCTAGTGGAGTTTGCGTAATTACAGCATGAGATAAAAACTTCCACACAAAAAAAAATACAGACAGGCCAGAAACCATAGAATTGCTGACAACCGAATCATTAAATTCGATAACGGGCAAAATGTAACTTAGAGCTGGATTTTAGTCCTGTGTGTAAGTGAGGCCATTGTCAGTCAGCAATTTGTTTCACAAAAAGCTCCTGTCTCTAAAAAATTTCCCCTGCCATTTTAAACCGGTTGAAGGGAACAACATTGGTGCAGTGAAGAATGTCAGCTTGTATTCTTGTGCTTTGGTGCACTCTTGTGGAGGAATCTGATTAAAGTTGCTACATTCATCATTAACTACTGAAAGCAAAAGCACTTTGCCTGTGCCCCAGAGGCCCTATTTCACAGAACGTGAACCATCACTACGGTGACTCATTTGAAAACTCAAGGAATACCTTTGTAATTTCAGGTGTGAAGAGAAATTGCATATTCATGTCGCCATTTCTTCCAGGTTCCATTCTTTCCTGCTGTACCTGGGCCATCCTTCCAACTCTGCCCGAGAGCTGAAGATTACCAGGTTCTGTAAAATAATTAGTGAGTTTGCACTAGAATATCGGACCACCAGAGAACGGGTCCTGCAGCAGAAACAGAAGAGGGCTGCATATCGAGAGAGGAACAAGACAAGGGGGAAAATGATCACAGAGGTATGCTGATTTAAGAGGATAAACTTTCTATCTCCAGTTTTTTTTACTGAAAAAGCAACTACAATTGGATGCAGTTTTATTCAAACAGCTTTGTTGCCTGCAGTACACTTTTTCAAGGCTATTGTTTCTCTGTAGATTAAAATGCTAATACGGGATGGGATTTTTGCTCCCCATTTACTTTCTGGTCTTAGTTTGTCACTGGAACAAGACAATTGAAAGCTAACATGTGGAGTTCAGAGAGATTCATTCTATAAATAGCCAAACTCAGTGTCAGACTGGATAGTCTCCGTGCCTACTCAATATTGGCCTTATTTGCATCATGACACATGGGACGATCAATACCCTGGGACCTCTTCATTGACCAGAAAGTCAAACAGACCAACCACTTAAGTGCAGGTCAAGGGTGAACTATCCTGTTGTAAGTAGCTCACCTCCTTTTTTCTCAAAGCTTTGCTGCCAATCTACAAGATACAGGCGGGATAACAAGGTGTAGAGCTGGATGAACACAGCAGGCCAAACAGCATCATAGGAGCAGGAAGGCTGACGTTTCGGGCCTAGACCCTCCAT